CTCCTGGCCTTACTACTAGGAACAAGAATGCTACTAGGAGCAAAGGGTGCTGTGAGGTAACCGATGTTCGAGACTTGGCGCTGGCACATGTCGAGCACCCGGAGTGGGAAGGAGCCTGGACACAAGCGCAACAGAGTCGGGTTTTGTTTATATAGATGCAAATGAGGCCTGTACAAATCTTGATAGAACCATGCTGAGTCGTTGGTTTCTTCCACGTCCCCAGCAGTCCTTTTCGATCAGCTTGAATGACCTGATTTACCCCAGGTCAGAGCGATGGAGAAAGAGGGGGCAGTAGGGAAGCGTTTTCTGGTGTCATCCGACACCGGGTTTTTGCAGGCCGGTTTGTGCTGTGTGTGTGTGTTTAATGCGCGGACTCGACACGCAACGCAGCAGTCATGGGTACGTTACAGCATTCAAGTTTCGCATATATATATATATATTAATGTTGAATGTGGCATAAAACAGCTACGTTGAAAGTTCGTGATCGGTCCGATCGGTTCCAGAATTTTGGAAGTTGGGTGAGCTTGCGCTAGGTAAAGATGGCCGAAATGCTCGGGGACAGGTTCAAAGCCAGCTGGCCAAGAGAGAAAGAGAGAGAGAGAGGGAAGAGAAACCAAGGTTGACCTCAACATAGTATGGGGTGGGTCAAAACCTGGAGCCCGAAAAGATCGGAAAAGCATGTAGGTTGACCTTCCTAGTAGGTCAACCAAGCTATGCTGACTTTGACGCACAGCCATATGTTGGCCACTAAAGGCATATCCTTTGCCAACAGAAAGCCAAGAAGGAAAAACAAGTTTCAAGCCACGTTCTCAGAAGCTTCTTGGAGCTGGCTAATTCACACAAAGTTTCCTTGTTTGAAGAACAGAATTTATCAGTGGAGAAGTGAGAATAATCAGGTTTGTTAGAATTGAGTTTGAATGGCCGTGCTTGTCGACAAAGGCTTAGCTCTCAGCGCGCAAAGGACACTGCAACAAGTTTCTGGTTTGGCCAATATCATGTTTTCCGGTGCAGGAAAATTCGAGATAGGTTTGTAATGAAAACAGGACGTGCTGGGTGTCTCGTTGCGACCAGTGGACGTGTCCCTTCGGGACATGGCTGCAGCCGCCCTGAGGCCAGGTCAAGGCAAACATTCCGTTTCCGGTGGTAAGAATCGAAATTTGGGGGGAGCACTGCAAAAACACTATCTGTGTTTTGCTTTTTGTTGCTTGTTCATTCCCGAGAAAAGATTCTTTTGTTTTGGCCAATGATATGATATGGATGTCCCCTGCCCCTTTCATTCATACATGTCCTTGAAAGAGATCGGCTGACTGAAGGGGTTTGCCCTCACGTGATTTCATACATTGATTTGGGAAATCAAGCTTCCTGAGAATTCCGAAGACATGACAATGATAGGTCGTGATTCAAAAGAAATGTGTCGTGAGAAGTTTCCCATCGTTTCCCCATGACTCCTAAGATTTCTTCAACCCAATGCCTTCAAACATGTTGCACTAGGGAGACGCCCGGCATTTCAGCATGGTTTGCTCCTTATCTTACACCATCAATAAGGGAGTGCATGGGAGAACCTCGCAACGGGGCTTGGAATTGTACGTGGCACAAGGGAGGCCAAGGGAGCAAGCAAAAAAGAATCACTAAACCTCGAAGTCCCAATTCCCTGCAGAAGCCCTTGTAGACCCTCGCACACTCTTCGTAAGCAAGCAGTAACTTTGTGCGGTTATTGTGTCATTGCAGCATTGTATCCCATAGTGTGCATAGGCTTGGCCTCAAACCTTGACCAGTGTTTCCCTTTGTGTGTTATACGGTTTGCTTGATTGTTTGTTGACTTTGCTTGACTGTTTCTCTATATAATGTCCACGAAAAGTATCCACCCTCGTGCATACAATCGGGGTCTTGATGATCCAAGATATGTCCCTCCTGCCTTCACACAATATTCTGGACCCGGTGTTTCCAGAACACCAAGGAGGACGTGACAAATGTACAACATTCAAAGCCGGCATCATTTTGCATGATGTTGACTCCCCAGTCTCGTAGAGACTGTACCCTCCTTAGCTCAAAACATTCCCAAGATTGTATAGCCCCCCCTCCTTTTGTAGAGTTGGACCGGGTGATTGGTGGGCCATGTGTCATTTACTTACTACAGCTACAGTCCGCTCATGTGCATCGGCGGTTTCCCAGTAGTTAGTTGTTTCTAGACTGTTTCTATTGGCGGGGTGCCATGGGTGTGGGAACAAGCGTTAAGGCCAGAGAGGTTCATAAATTGAATACTACTGTCTACTGTCGTTGAGTTCATGCGGTGAAGCCCATCTCAGCAAAGAACGAAGCCGATCAAAGTGAAACCACACACGAAAGTGTCGGCCCAAAGGCAAAAGATCAGACGAAGAGACAGCGGTGCAACACTGTCACCCAAGACTTGGCCAGAAAGAGATCAGACACCCGCAATTTTTGTTATCATGTCAGCTTCCTTAGGCTGCCAGCGGAACAGAGACGCCAATTTAAAAGGGAACTTTTAATGCTTGAAGGTGACCTGATTCGATGGGGCCCTTAGCTTCTTTCTTTTTCATTGCGTGTTTTGACATCAAGAGAGTTCTTTGCTTTTTCAGGGTGGGCCTCGCAGAGCGCAAGCCCATCTCTGAGAAAGGAGTGTTTTTTTTGTGGGAGGGGTAGGCCAAGGTAGCTAGGTAGCTAGTAGAAGAGGCAGCTAGTACCTACAAGTAGCTTCTACTTAGGACGCAGGATAGCTCACGCTCGCACGAATGATTTGGTTTCTAGATTCTTAGGTAAACATAACATTAGAAGCTACTACAGAATCTTTGGAGTCAAACAAACCTGGAAAGGAATGAAGACTTCTACAATTTGTCTTGCTGGTACAACTGGTAATTAGCATTATTTGTTCGAGGTTCGTCAAGAAGGCTGCCAGATCTTTCGGAAAGGTTTCGCTAATCATGTCCGGTCCTCGGAATGCGAGTGCCCACCGTTGCTCCGACTTATTGTAGATGTTCTGGCAGTTTAAAGTTTCACTATGATCGATTTGTGAGCAAGATCCCAAAGCTGCGGAGGCCTTTACCATTTTGCAAGCAAATTGGGGTCATATGCACCATCTCCCATAGGACATGGCGGTCTTTAGCAGCATTCATTTCAGCGTATCAAGTGGAGTTGGTTCAGCTGACTCGAGGCCCGACAGTCGCAGCGTTTATCTTTTGGTCACTGTCGTGTCCATCGGGACACCAGAGGACCGCAAACCAGGAAGACTCAATACTCAAGAGAAGGAAGACGGTTTTGTTCTTGGCTTGGCCGCTTATTGCATATTGTTGGATCAGTACAACCCCTTGAGTTTAGGAGGGCAAAGGCTCAGAGTCTTTCACGGAGGCACAGAGAAGAAACCTAACGAGGTCAAGAGACGACCAAGGAACCAAAAAAGGAATTAAATTAACTATAATTTGAAGTTCTAATAGCTTCTTGTTACTACTAGTAAGGCACTTGTTACTAGTAACGAGGTCAAGAGACGACCCAGGAACCTGAAAATCTTGGCAGGTGGTCGTTGGAGACTCTTCCGGGATTGTCACGTTGCGGTTGAGCTCTGATGAGGTCAAGGCATGTGGCGAAACGATCCTTGCAATGTGGAAACCAGAAGATCCACACCAATCCAGCCATACCAGAGCCATACCTGCTAATGACCTGCGCAATTTCTTGTACTGGACTACTAGCAAGCTTGCCGCAGTCACCAAAGAGGGACGATTGGATTGGTGACAAATCAAACCACAAGGCCTGAACCTTTTGACCATTCCTTCAGCACCATAGGTTTGGGAAATGCTCACTAGTTCAAGATTCGTTTGATACCTCTTCACAAGGTATCCAAGTCATGCTTCAGAAGATTCATTTTCCCATAGGTTTAGCACGGCCAGGCCGTTGGAAGTGTGGGAGACGTTATCGAGATTCGAAACGGTGCTGTGAAGATGATGAAGGCAAGATTGGCAACATGCACGTGCACTGTGTTGACACCGAAATATGTCTTGACTTGTTCAGAGCTTTGTGTCACTTGCAGTCTAGGAGTCCAGGGTCGGCTTGATTGCGAAGGCGCAAAGCTTGTCCGCAGCCGTATTGTAGACCAATCCAGTCAGCTCTCATGTTTGGCGCTTGCTTTTCCACACCAGTCAAGGAGCTGCAGGGAGAGATTTCAAGATGTCAAACGCAGGTTATTGAAGTGCATGAATTGTATTGGTTCATGCATGTTCAGTCGTGGACACAAAACTGCAGAGCAAACGGGATAGAAGTTCAGACTCAGATATCAATATGTTGGGCTTTTTTTCGCATTTGCTTCTTTTCGCCTTTTTCCTGTTCGAGGGCAGATAGCGGGGAGGGCAAGCCCAGGAGGCTGGGGAGAAGTGAAGGCAGTAAGGATTTTTCAAGGAAGCTTCTCCAGTCTGAGGGTAGGACAAGCTTTCTTGAAGAACTGTCGCTGTAAAATGAAGCTTCCTAGTTTTTGTTGTATCCAGATTGAGCTCGACGTGTTGAGTCTTCCGTGTTTGGATTGAAGGGTTTGCACGAGCCACACTACATGTCCAAAATCCTACAGGCACAAACACTAAGCCGGTTTCAAATCACAAGCTTGCAAAATGCTGCACAGCAGTTTGTTGAAGCACCACATTTAGACCAAAAATCAAGCACGTAAAACACCTGGGCAAGTTACCTTTCAACCTGAAGCTTGTAGACTGACAGCACCCGATGCTTGTACCAGTGAATTATAGTGAACTGTTGAAAATAATCCAAAAATGGAGGAAAGTAGAACAGAACAAAGCCAGACCAGTGTGTTGGAATGTATTGGATTGATGGCAGGAGGGTCGCAGCAGCATGATGTCCATCATAGAGGTAAAGGCTGCACAGGTGACACACCCGCCACGACCTCAGCTAAATCAGCCAGGCAGGCTCATTCACCATTCATTGATATGCCTCGAAGCAAGTCCGCATCGACTTTCAAACATCATGCTTGAACGGATTTGAAGGACTCAATCTTTGGAAGAGCTCAATAGTTAGGAAGAGCCGTATACTCCTGCTTGAGTTTGGGCAGGACTGGAGATCCAAAGTTTTCTGTCATGCAGCCCTTCCCTGCGGCGATTTCAGAGAGGGATGCCGACCCATTTTTGATGTGTGCCTTTGGCCCAAGCCGCTAGTGACTGTAGTGGTCTGGAGTTGGGATTGGGTCCATCCATTCTTGAATGATTCGATGACATCCCCCATTCACAAGATGCAGAATCACAGGTTGTCAGAGGTTTCATTTGCGCATTCGTTTGCACGCAAGTGAAGCATCCTGAAAAGGTGATGAGTTTGGTCCTACAGAGAGCTCCGGCAAGGAGACTGACCCCGTTCTTTGACTATGTTCTTGTTCTTTTTTTGCTCTTTTGTGCAGTACCGCATTGTGAATACTTATGCAACATGCACTTGAAGTACAGAGGACATATTTCTGACATCAGATTCTAAGGATCGCTTTCCAGTTGGGTGGCACCCTCACTTGGGGATGGACATCATGACCTACTTGCGAGAAGGACGAGGGAGACATGCAGACTCCTTGGGCAATCGCGAAGAGCAGCTTGTTTGACGTTGGTTTGCAGTTCCTGTTCTTGCTGGGCGAGTTTGTGCATTTCGCAGGAGCTTAGAAGAAAAGTTTTGTCTATAAGCTTGACCAGAATCGACCTTCAGGTTTGATAGCCCGGGCTTTCAGTGGATCAGTGTGGGTAGTGGTATCGAGCATGCTGAAGGTGGCGGAACTGCAAAAGGCTTGGACCGGGGGATCCACTGTCTTGACTTGTTTTGCCTTTGCTTCTGATGGCTGTAAACTTCTCCACCGGATGCTGTTGACGGCACGACCACTTGGGGCTGAATTTGTTTCGCTCAGATTGATGTTGGTTTGGAATGCAAGGAGACCGACAGCACGGCTTTCAAATTTGGTTGAATGTGCCAAAGGTGCACAAGGCCGATGATCCTGAGCAGCTCGGAGATACTGTTGATGCATCGCAACAGCGATAAGATCATAGTGATCGCCTAAGGTATGGCACTGTGGGCGCAGAGCTTCTCACAGAGTTTGATCTCAGTGGTGGCGCTGGCCGAGCACGTTTGTTGGCTGGGCCATATTCTGGTCAGGCTTCCGGGCTAGTAAAGTAGTTCCATACTCTTTGGTCTATGCTTTATGTGTCAAGCGGAGCTGTGTGCCAACTATACTCTTGCGAGTCAACTAAACATGCTGAAACTGAAGAAAGGTGCATAGGCATCCTCACTAGTAAGCAGAAAGATTACCTTCACAAGGTATAAATGCCGCACCTTTTGCTGGGTTTTCTACCTAGTACTTATGGCCAGATTTGGGGCGCACCCTGGTGAAGGAAGGAGCCTTCAAGACCAAGCAGAGCGTGCAGATGATTGACTTTGAGGCGACTTGAATATCCTGCGCATTGTTTCGGTACCTGAACGTAAGGGTTTGTGAGAGAGCTTTGCCTAGCTGTAATCTTCACGCGATTCACTGGAGTCCAAGTTGAAGGTTACACCACGAGCTGCTTTTTGCCACCCTGTCCCTGACAATATGGAAACAGTGCTGGTGTATTGCTACAAAGGCTTGATGCATGGCTGGAGAGTGAGAGCATGAGACACAGCCAGTGCGTGCCAGAGTGAGTGAGACAAGACAAATGCCTAAGGCGAATTACGAGTAGGGGCAGAAGGCAAGACGAAGCTCAGCAGAATCAAGACAGATTGGGCGCGCACACTTCAAGTATACTCTAGTGAAAGGCCTCTGGTAAAGCTGATTGCATGGCGGCACATATTTGGATGTATGTTGGGATCCGGGACGGCTTAAAATCAACCTATGCAAGAACTAGTAAACCCTTCACAGTTTTGGGTTTGTTATTCACAGAGTTCAGAAGAACGACTGTGTTGGGCTGTAAGGCTTCCGGCCCAGCATGTTGCGAGACTGGATGGTCGCTCAACCAGTCGGGACCTGCTATTGGAATCTGGCGAGGCTGCGGGCTGCGGGCTGCGGGTCTGAAACGCTGTGATATCATGAATGTGATATGTATATATATATAATATCTTCATGAATCATGGTGTTCTCAAGTTCGGCTGTGTCGTAGGATGGGGCTGGCTGTATTCTCTTTGCTGGCAAACCAATCAACGAGCCGAGATTTGGTTGCAATGAGAGAAAGACTTTTATGCGTGATCATGTTTTTACTCGCAGGGTCGCAAGAGACAGAGACGGAGTGACCTCGTTTCCGCAGCTTTTTGATGCACAGCTTGAAAAGGTTTGACACCACCATTTCATGTCGCTGCAGTCCTACAGATTAACAGAATGCTAGCTTGGTCCAAGGATTGCATGGCACGGGCCATTTGTTGCCAGTGACAAGAAAGAGCTGCAAAAGGCTTTTCGAGCTTACCAGGACAGCCAGAATCAATGGTTCATTTCACTCCCCCGTTTGCCACGGCCACCCAACAAGGTGATTGGTCACTGCCCACCCACTGACCTAAATACTGTATTACATTGTATCACTATGATAAAGAATACTGTGAGTGGGTGAGGACAATGTCCAAGCTATGCAAGAGAATCAAGAACCTGGTCAAATCTCAAACTGTATGTACCTACTACTCTGCATCCGCTAGATCTACTACAAATTTGTACTGGTGTTTTGCTGCAACACCACAGTGTGCTGAAGAACTTCTGGAGTCACGAGAATCCAACAAGGCACAAGCAAAAGCGACTGTGCCTGAAACATCCTCAATGTGTTGGAAAGCTCAACTTGTTTGAGGCACGCATCCATTTCTTTGTCTTTTATGCCCTCGGTTGGTTGTTTTCTTTGTGCCTGGCCGTGCGCCCCATTTTCAAGTACACAACAAGGACGGCAGCTTTCCACCCAAACGGGTGCCCTGGGATTACCGCCGCGCTGCTGCTGCTCCGAAATCCTGATAGTGAAGCTTGCGCTAAACAGTTGGAAGTATGTTCAAGTGCCGATGCCTCATTGATACCATTCATGCATTGGATTGCAAACAACTGCTGACTGCAAGATATTGCATCATGCCATTGATACCTGCAAAAGGTGTTCAGCTTCAAGCAAGGAGCATGTTATGTCCATTCTGGTTCTCGACCACCAAGGACCGTTTTAGACTTGTGATGACGGCACTAAACCAATCAGAAATCCCTGGAGAAATGATGGGATTTCTTTCAGTGCTGGTCCAGGTCATTTGGTTGAAATCTTCGACCAGCTTGTTGCTCAATTGCTTATCAAGCTGGTTTGACTGCAATGTACAGCTTTGCCAAGTCAAGACTGAAGATTGGCCAGGCTACATGTGAACTAAAGCCGCAGGTCTGCATGGCATCAGCAAGATTGAACAAGTAATCGAACAAAAATAATCCTCATCCTTACACAAAAACAATCATGTAAACGAGAAGACGTGTGTGAATTTGCTTCGGAGCTTGGAAGACATGTTTACCTTAATCAGCTTTCGAAAGGAAGCGTTGAAATGCTGGCTAACTGCTACTCTTGTTGTTGTCGCATTGTCTTTGCAGGGCTTCATCCGCCTCATTGTGGGAAAGTCGCTAACTAAGTCAAGATAGGAATCGAATAGCGTCGGATGAAGAGAAAAGCATTGCAGCAGTTGCAACATTTATCCAGGATACAACCGTCACATTTGTTAGAGTCGAATACGAAGCGTGCATCAAAAGGTGGGGCAAGATTGCCAAACACGATGGAGACACGCCTGTGACTCCCAACAAGGTGCAGCTGAGGAGAACATCTTTCCAATGTTGGCACAACACAGGATACAGTTCATGTTCAAACCGTAGTATCTCTACACAGAAGAAGAGGCAAAGCAGTCATAGTAGTGATGCTGTGTTCGTTTGGAAACTGTGGTAGTATTATTGTTGTTTGGCGGCGAGGCCAAGGATGTGTCCAGCACGGAGTATGAGTTGGTGGCCGCATGAGTATTTGAGTGATGCCCCTTTGGGCTATTTGCCGTCTGTGGGGTGGACTTTAAAGCTCCGAAAAGCTGGACGTGACATCGGAAGTCAGGTTTCTGGCACCAAAGTGGAGGTGTTTTTGACATTGTATGTATACCGTTTTCAACTAGATTGAGCATCGCGTTTGTTCATTGTATGGAAGAAATCGATTGGATCCACAGTATTAAATATTAGGTTTGGTTTAAATTAGGTGGGATTGATGAAACAATAGGTGCCTTGAATCTGGACGTGAATATCTGCTTGGCTTTCAATCTACCTACCGTAAAATCAACATAATGCCAAATTATTTAGACAGCGATTGATGAATCAAAAATTTAATGTTTGTATGAAATATGTGCTTTTGCATAATGACATAATAAAGAAACAATATAAACGTTACTGAATATATTAAATGAAAGAATTCTTGCAAATAGCTTATTTACATATATGTTGAATTAAGATAAGCGCCATTGCCAGATCAAGTCTTGGCAGCCATTTCACTCGGTCCTTTCCACCATGACAAGTCGGAACCGCGGTCTGTGAGAACATGTTGTATTGGCTTGCCGTTGCAATATTTGCATTTTGGATGTTGGCAAACCCGGTCCCAATTCCGGGGGGTGTATCGGACGTTTCAGCTCCATCAACTACAATCTATACACCTGGCGTGAGGGTCGCCATCCCTTCTTCACAGGATGGCGGAAGTGCATTTTCCACAAATGCACAGACCAAAGCCTGCACGAAGGCTAGTGAAGTCTGGGCGATGTATGGCTACGGCCACGTGCAGCACCAATCTCGTATTCGACGTATCAAAAGGTCATTTTGCAGAGCTTGCAAAAGGCCTATGATAGCTGGACATACTTCATACCATGGTCGGACTCTTTGGGCTGCGGATGTCCCTTTTCGATTGAGGAGCAGGCTGACGTCCCACACCTCCTGCACCTTCCTCTTCCCTTCGACGAGGACCCTCTGCTGAACGCCCTGTCCTGCGGCTCCTGTCCTGGAACGCCTCTCGAGGCTTGAACTATTAGGAGTGGTTTTGCTGGTGTGCAGGCCGCACTGAAGACGTGATTTTGGCTCAGGAAACCGGATGGTCTATGACTGGCTAATGGCAGACAGATTGTTGGTATTGCATCCACAACCATTCTGCATTTGTTATCAGTTTGAAGAGCTTTTCCATAACCTGGGTTAGTGCCCCAATAGATGGCAGGGCTCGATTAAGCGGTGTATTAAAAGCACCTACTGTGATTAAAACGTGACTCTTAGGGATGTAATTGACTCCCTGTGTGAGTCTGTGCCACAGGTCTTACCTAGCTTGAAGGAGTCTACGAATAGGTCGTGTGGTACCCCAAGGCGTCTGGTATACCGCATAGATTTGCACATGGCAATCACCAATCCCGGATTGACTTCGCTTTTCTTCGAACTTTTCAGATTCGCTGGATCACATTCGAGCACGAGTTGATTGCTACTTTGAGCGCATTGGAATTCATAATGGCCCTCAACATAGGCCCACCTTCTACGGTGGCATGCAATACGTAAACCCACTGCTCATGCTTAATCCATTGACCGGTTTCGATTGCACTAGGAAATGATGGATGCCACACTTAGGTGGCCTCAGTTTGAGCAAGCTGTCCGCAATTGTATCCTTAGTCATCAACACAAGCATTCGATCGACCCAATTTAGAACTGCCTGGACATGGAACATCAGATTAGCCAGTTGTATTTTGATCATTTTCTACTTGTTAAGTCCGTTACGAATCCTGATGCACAGATTCAATCCATGTCCGCTCGCATGTGGCATGACCGTAAACAACTTCGATTGGTGTTCGTTGCGTCTGTGAAAACCTTTTTTTCACAATTGGAAGCATTGCACCCGGTTTACTAAATTACATGCCCAGATCCGAATCTATAGTCGGATTAATAAAAGACGGAAATTTGAACGGTTTTTGCAAGATAATGGGGAGAATGTCATGACCAACAAGATGCATGAATGGTATCGGAACATTCGTAGGTTGTGCCCCAAACAACCTTTCCGCAGGATCCAGATGCATGACCCTCATGGATCCAGATGCATGACCCTCATGGAGCACCCATGATCCCGTACCAGGAATTTGTTTCATTGATTGATTATTTTGGCATGCTATTTCGAGACGACGCCTTTGATTTTGCTCCTCAACCACTGAGTCGGCTCCCGTTCACTTAGGCTGACCTTGAACATCGTCTCAATAGATTGCCCATCACCAAAGCGTTGGCCCTAGAAGGATTTCCTGAAGTGGTCTGGCGACACAAGCCGCATATTATGCTTGGGTCTTGAGTCGGGGCACGCCGCCCTAGTAGTGGTCCATTGGCTGGCTTCACCTATTGAATAAACCCAATAAGAAACCCAACAAGCCACCTAATAAGCCCTGTCTTCTTCTCGTGTTTGATCACTGTCGGACGGTCTAAGTTCTATGTCACCAGCACACCAGAGATTAGGGGCTTTGGGGAGGGATTCAAATCTTATTCGATCTTGAAAAGGCTTTCGATGCCATTGACCGCAAGCTCGTGATTCATGCGCTCGGTCTGTATGATTTGGATCATGATCTTAGGCTCCTGGTCCACTCTTGGCTCCGCTACAAGTCGATTCCGGGCATTTTGTTGGACAAACCATTCATTGTTGGCCAATTATTGTGCATTTTGCCACTTAGTTGCGCGTGCCCATTCGATTCGAAAGCATTCTGGTGAACAGCATCAGGGACTTCTGGTCTTTGAGGCACTGTATCGTGACCATGGGTTTCAACGTCGAGTGGAGGTAGAGACGAGGATTCGTTGCTAGACTTTCCGTTCGGCAGGAGGATGCCTTGGCACAACTTAGTCTGGATAAGTCGCAGCAGCATCATGCCGAGTATGCTGGCCAAAGCGAATAACCAAAAGCAAAATGGCGACGTCTCTATGCCCCTCCGGATTACGATGTTCCTTCATTATTTTTAGGAGTTGGTTTAGCGGACCAATAAATTGCAGCTGGAGGCAAAAGACGACGCCTTGATATAGAATCTCCGCTCCAAGGATATCTTCACCGAGGACAATAAATTGGCCTATCTCGCTTGGGACGCTTAGGGCAGATGTTGAAGGCCAACAAAACTCCACCGTTGACTTCCGACGAGATTCGAATACTACTGGACTTGGATAATAATAGTCGGTGGTTCACAAATTCTTAGCCGTCCATCCCGTGAACTAGGAGAATCTATTTCAGGATGCGCACCGGAAGCCATAGAGCTTTATTAACACCAGTTGAAGTTGATCGGCAATGGTATTACCCAATTGGCACTCCTGAGGGTCCGGCTGGCGAATTTGCAACGTTCGCCCCTCGCCAATGCAATCTCCCAACGGTGACGATTTCGATTATGGTAGCTAGGTTGACTAATGTTGGGTCGACGTATTATATTAACATTGCGCTTCTTGCTTAGGTTTGGAGTTGTATCATGAGCTCGAGTTTCAACACAGTAATTTGGGGGCCATGGGAATTACAATTGTTGAGTATGCTTGTGAGCCATGCAGGGGAGGTTGTGAATCTATGTGACGATTGCTTTTTAGGCCGCCTGCTTGCTGATTGGTTTGAAATTCATTCGTTTTTAGATCAGCATGACGCCGGCAAATTTGCTGGCTGGTTCCGATAGAGGTTATTGGAAAAGACCTTGCCGCAATATATGTAAGGAGGATGGAGTACTAGACTTACGCATTCCATTGAAGATAAGGCCACTGTTTTGGCACTTGTCCTCTTAGTCTGCATTGTAGACGGTTCCGTGATACCGCAACAGCACTAGCAAGAACCATTTATTTATGTCTTTATATGTAATTTACTATGGATTACCTTCAAATTTCTTGTTTTCCTACCATTGGTACTAAAAGTCATTGCTCGGTTGAATGGGATCGACGTGTCTCTTTTTAAGTGTTAGTGTTTCGTGCTAACCAAGGCCTTTAGGTGGAATAATATGATTTTATTGCGACGGTCGGCGTTATTTAGAAGTGTAATATAGTGGAATTGCGTTGGAGTGTGATTATGCCCTTCGGTTGTGATTTTATGTTGGTTAGATTCATTTATTTTCTGTGGATTGCGCCGTGTCGTTTAATGAATTTTTCTTGGCGCCGACCACTTCAAAAGTTTTAGAAGAATTTAGATGAATTGTCGGATGTATTTTGCCGATTTTGATTGCAAGAAATTGGAGCCTCGACACATTCGATGTGTCCGGCAGGATGCTAATCCATCGCGGCCTAATATGGGTAGGAAATTAAAATATTATTATATAGAGAAGTGGATATTGAATTGTATGTAGATTGTTTTTAATTAATTCATTTAAATTATATGAAAATATTAAATAGAAATATTATTCGTCGATTTATAATGAATGTTCGTTGATTTAAGATAATGAAGCCAAAATAGGGAGAATTCCGGACGAATTTTTTAATATTTATAAATATTCGAGATTCTTGAGGCTTAAAAAAATGATATTAAAAATTAATGAGTTTTGTTTTGGATAATAATATAGTTTATTGTTAATGGTGTTTTATTTTGTTTAAGATTTTTTTGTATTATTGTTGGTAATTTTTTTTTATATTTTTTATAATATTTTTATATAGCATTTCTATGTATTTGTTTTGTAGGTTTGTTATTGTTGGTGTTCGTATTTTTTTGTATATTTTTGTTTATTTATTTCTTAGATTTGTTATTGGTGATATTTAATATTTTCTATTGATTATTTTTATGTATTTATTTTATAGGTTTATTATTATTGATTTTTTTTTTTCCGTTGGTCGTGTAGCATTTTAATTCGTTTGTCGATTTCTTTTATATTATTTGTTTATTTTCATTTTTTAGGTTCGGTGTTTGTATTGGTGGCATCCGGTCTTTTTTTTTCTAATTTATTTGTTTCTTAGGTGATTTCTAAATGTTGTTTAAGATTGTTCGCTTTGTTGTCGGATAGTTGTCCGGCTTATTTCCCTTGGTCTTTTTTTTATTGGTTATTGTGCTTTTTGTTGGTTATTGTGTCCGCCTTATTTCACTTCTTGTTGGTTATTGTGTTCGCCTTGTTTCCTTTTATTCTTTTTTTGTTTCCGGTTTTGTTTCTTTTCTTGTGGGTCATTGTGTTCGTTTTGTCTTGCTTTTGTTT